CCTCCTCCCCTCCATCTCCCCCCTCCCCTTCTCGCTTCCGGCTTACGTGCTGCAGGCCCCCCCCCTTCTCTCTGCAAACTCAACGGCACGACATCCCGGCTCTGCTGCTGCTGACGCGGGCTTGCTGCAGGGTCGCCATTTCTCTCTTCTTCACCTTGATTGTGCGCGGGGATGGCGCCTGCGAATCTACCATCTAGTATGTACCGTAGGTGTGCATGTGAGTACTGTAATTCTAGTAGTGGGTTGCGCCGTCGACTTTGCTTATTCGCACCGTTGCTTTGCCTGGCTTTGCCTTGTCCATGTCCAGAACAGCGCGGCTAGGTACTGTACTTGGCGTAAGTAGGCACTGTGTACTACCGCTTCCAGTCTCAGGAGCAAAAGACACATGAAGACAACAATCTAATGACTGGCGCCAGTCCCTTTGTGGCAACCCAGCCGCGACCCAATACTAGCACTCGGAACTGGACTCCTTGTCTTTTTCCAGATTAGCGATCAAAAGGCGAGCATAGAGCACGTCCTGAGCCCTTTTGGCACCCATTTGTGCGCAATGGAACCCCTCCATCACGACGCTAACAGGAAGAAAAAAAACTACACTTACCGGTACTAGGTACGGCTAAGAGAGTGTGTATGTGCATAGTAGTAGCCGTCGTCTGTCTCGTTGCCAACACAAGTAGAGCAGTAGTGTATGATACCACCTCACCAACCCTCCCGCTCATCCACCACCAAACAGCAACCATGACAACCATGACAAGCACCACGTCTGCTACGCCACCCAAGTGCATTTGCCATGGCCACTGGTACTAGGGGGCTGCTTCTCACTCCACTCTGCATGAAGCACGAATCGTCGGTGGGTGCTGTTCATACTACATACATACAGTGCAATACAATAAGCAATAGGTAACTTAGCCACAGGGGGCTCAGGCATCGAATACGGGGATCCGCGGGAGTCCGCGCCAAAACACGCACATCCCACGGCTGTGGGAGCGGGTAGGCGGGTCGAGCCCGTCTCATCAGACCGGTCGATGCTGGCCTGCCTGCCTCCATGCCAAGCCTCCCATTGCATGAGGGTGTGCTGCAGTCAGTCAGGTCGTACTGTAGAGTTACCGTAGGCAGGGTAGGGGTTGGCCGAAGCCTGCCATGGATGCGCATAAAACTACACGATGGCTATTGCACACGATTCGGCTGCCTGCTACAGAAAACATCATCTCCCCCCCAAAAATAATCTCCCATGGAACTATTCACCCGTTCCAGACAATCTCGAACAGTTGACCATCGCGGCTCCGGCCACCGTGCCGCTCACCACGGCCCATTTGATTTGATTCATGGTCCTTCGGCCCGAGTCAGCAAAATGGGGCCACACACAGCCGTATCATCAACCCATTCCGAGGCGGCCGACTACAGGCATCCCTGACTAGGGGGAAGAGTGGATGGACAGTCCGCTCGCTGGTGCCTGCCTGTCCACGGTCCATTTCCGCGGTCATGGATTCAACAGCGCTCACTGACCAGATCTTAATTTGATGACCGCAATCGAAGCACTTTGCCCGACCCCAAAACCTGCCTTGGCGGATGACCGTCACCTTTGGTTAGCCATTGCGACACGGTCTTTGGCCCTGACAACAAGTCACAATCCCCTTCGGGCTTCTGCCGCCGATGCATTCGTGTTCTGGCAATTTCACGACCCTGCCAACCTGGCCCGCCTTCCTGACAGCCAACTCTTTCCCACCAACGGATGCTTGTTCGTCCCTGTCCCGCCCTCTGCACGGCCTTGCACATCTGCCGGGCAACGTTCGTGATTACCCGCTCGGTCTCTCCGGTCTCATGCCATAGGACGGGAAATTATACATACAGAGCAGGTTGGTTCTATAAGATCAACAGGACTGCACTACCATGGTAGCTACTACCCGTACCTGCCCAATCACACCGGAAAGAATCGCGGGGAAATCATTGGCCCTGTCAACGTTTACACTTGTCCCATGAAGCGTCCATGGCTTCTTGTACGTGGACAGCGCCATTTGCATGGCGGATAATACAATAGACTGCTACACGTTGTTCAGATTGCACACACACGCCACTGCCATACCGTACCCATCCGGAGTCTGGCACGAAATACTCTTACTCACCACCCAGACATGACCTGAGCCATGAACCATGATGCCATGAACAGCCCAAACACCTTCAAGCAATAGCCCACCCAAAGTACCCAGGACAAGTTTGCCGCTGTCGAGATGGCGCAAACAAATCTCTTGTTGATGGTAGCGTTGTTGGCCCTGCATCCATTTCAACATTGGATTGCACAGGGCAGTGTCACGTGCGCGCTGCGGCTCCTTCCGTAAGTAGCGCCAGACTAGCAAGCGCGACCAGCTCAGGGCAACGGATGCTCCAAGATTCGACATCTAATGCACATGCCATTATGAAACCCAACTGTATACAATCTCTCTAACACCATTTGCACCCTGACCCCTCCGCCATGGACGATCTGGCTGGCCTTGACTGGTCTCAGCCTGCGAAGAGACCCGCCCACAACACCCCAACTACCCTTCCACCCTTTCGCCAGAGCCCCACCCCTCAGCTGTCCGGGCGCTCTACACCTCAGTCCACACTGTCCGTCCCACTTGCGAGCTCGCGCGTCAGCCCTGCCAATGCAAACTCCCAGCCATTCAAAGTCCCCTCCTCCAAGCCCCCAACACCCGCCAACGATAGCTTCGCTGCACTCGTGGCCAGCAACAAGCCGAAGGCACCCGGGAGCGGGCTGTCACTACAGGAACGCCAGAAGCAGCTTCAGGAGGAAAAGCAGCGAGAAGAGGCCGAGCGGAGGAGACAGTATGACACGACGTTTGGAGGGGCGGACTCGCAGCATTGGGACACCTTGGGAAGCGGCAAGAGCACACCACAGCCCTCGGCCTTTGGCGTGCCCCCACCCAGCAACAATCCTTTTGCGCAAAATGGGCTGTCCAAGACGATTAACAAGCCATTTGCGGGCTTAGATACCACATCAACGCGTCGCGCGCAATCGCCCAGTGAGGATGACCTGCTGGCCGCCTTCAACTCGGCCGTTCCTGTGGACAATTCGAGCCACTTTCCGATTCCAACACAGAACAGCGGTAGAAGCACGCCAGCTTACAGCCAGAATGTGTCCCGACGCCAGACACCCTTACCACAGCCTTCTAGTAGCCACAATGCAGCCATGGACGACGACGATGATGACATGTTTGGCCTGAAGCAAATGGCACAAAAGTCGGCTTCTCCTGCACCCCCCATTTCAGCAAACGACAGCGATGATGATATCCTCGGCTTGCTTTCGAAGCCCGTATCCGAATTTCAAACAAAGGAGGAGCCTGCGCCCACGCGAGAGCAAGAGGCACCCGAAGACCGTACACCTTCGCCAGGTCCACAAAACGCACATGACAAAGCTGTCGCTGAGATGGTGGACATGGGCTTTCCAGCCGAGAAGTCAGCCATTGCGCTTGCAACAACAGAGTCTGGGCTAGACGTGCAAGCAGCGGTCGGCTGGCTCTTGAACCAAGCACATGCAGAAGCCAAGAACAAAAGCAAGGACCGTAGCCAGGACCGATCGAGAATGGAGGAGACGCAGGATCGTCCGAGGCGCGGAAACAGCAGACCAGGCGCAAGAGATGACTCTAGGGAAGCACGTGCGAACGGACGACAACCAGCTTGGATGCGAGAGGACGCACGAAGTACTTCAGGTCAACGTCGACAAGATGGCCATTCTCAGGAAAAGGATGTCACCCAAATGGCTTCAGAAATAGGCAGCACGCTTTTCAAATCAGCGAATTCGCTGTGGAAGACGGGCCGGAAACAAGTGCAAAAGGCCATGGCTGATTTGAATCAGGAGGGCGATCCCAATGTACCCAAGTGGATGCGTGACGCACAGGCTGCAGAAAACGCTTCCAAGTCGAGCAGATCATCAAGGGCGGAGCAGGTCGCCACTGATGAAGCCATGATGTTGGAAGCTGGCGGTCGCCCTGAAAAGTCCGCCCGCACAAGACAATCTCGACCACACGACGACCTTCCCGTTCGACAGCGACGAGAGCAAGGAGGGGCGAGTAACGGCACCCCAGATCGCATGTCATCTCAATCGCCAGCCCAGCGGCATCAACCTCCTCCCAGTCTAGACAAGCGACCAGCAACCCGGTTGACGCGTCAAGAGGTCGAGGAACAAAGCTCGCAGGCCTACATTAGTCCTGCACGGCGGAAGAAAGCTACACCTCAACCACAGGTAGATCTGTTTTCGCCAGAGCCAGTAGCTCCTGCACAATCATTCCGGCAGTCTACGCCATCTCATTCGAACAACCCATTTCTCCAGACAGTTCCAGCACCCAAAGCTCAGAGTCCGGCCGCGAAGCCAACCCCACCGCGACCTAAAGTGCCCCCTCGTCAAATACCTCCCGTCTCGCCTTCTGCGCTCAGAGCATCCGCATCTGACCGGCAACGAGGCTCTGAGGCGTTTAAACGGGGAGACTTTGCAGCCGCACATACCGCCTATTCGGCTGCACTGAGTCCTCTTCCCCAATCGCATCCTGTCACCATCATTGTGTTATGTAACCGTGCTGTCACGAACATCAAGGTGGGCGATCCCAAAGCAGCTATTGCCGACGCCGACGCCGCTCTCGCAATCATTGGAGTGTCCAAAGGTGAGGGTGAGAAGATTGTAACAGGCGGTGCTGAAGGCGACAAGGACATGAAGGAGTTTTACGGCAAGGCGCTTATGCGGAAAGCAGAGGCCCTGGAGAATATGGAAAAATGGTCAGAAGCGCACCAGGTTTGGAAAGAGGCTGTCCAAAACGGCGTGGGAGGTGCGATCAGTATCTCGGGTCGAAACCGGTGCGAGAAGGCTGCAAACGGAGGCAATGCGGCTGCCCAAGCGAAACGCCCGGCTCCAGTTCGAAAGCCTGCGCCAAAGCCATCTGCTCTGTCAGATCTCGGTGGTGGTTCGACAAAGGACTCGGAAGCTGTCAAGCGGATGAAAGCCGCGAATGCAGCTGCAGATCGTGTAGACGACGAAAAGTTTGCGCTCACCGATCAAGTAGACGCAAAACTGATTGCCTGGAAGGGCACAAAGTCGGACAACTTGCGAGCACTGTTGGGCTCATTAGATCAGGTGCTCTGGGAAGAGGCCGGATGGAAGAAGGTCAACATGGGAGACTTGGTCATGCCGAACAAGGTCAAGATCATCTACATGAAGGCTATTGCCAAGGTCCATCCTGACAAGGTATGATTTGATTGTTCGGAAAGGCGTGGAACGAAGCGATGCTAACGGATCACACCAGTTATCTCAGACGGCCACGACAGAGCAGAAGATGATTAGTGCAGCCGTGTTTGCTACGCTGAACGAAGCGTGGGACAAGTTCAAGGCAGACAATAGTTTATAGAATAGGCCGACCGGGGGATTGGCTAGCCCATTTCGATGCCCTCGAAATCAATGCAAACGTAGCATGACAAGAGGCCCTGTAGACATACATGTACATGGATGCGTTGGTGAAGTTCGGTGCATAAGCATCCGTGAGCACGCGACCTGTTCGCCACTAGCGTTGCGGCTGAAAAGCGTGTTCCTTGCAGGAGCTCTGATCCCTGCAACCCCGGATTTTCTTAGTCATTATGTAATTCTTCTTGGAGCTCGCGCGGTCCTTTTCATCCACACAGTCATTCACGGATTGAGCATCCAACCTCATTGTCGCCCTGCTCCTTTCCATCCATCCATTGCACATTCCTGGACAATTGGTGCCAAGCATTCACAACCATCGGGCCTCGTTTCTGTGGTGCACTGGTAGTCTCGCGTACCTCGGTCTTTGCGCGAGCTCCCCCAACGTCCCTGCGACACTGTAGCACAGCCAACAACTGAGCTGCCAGGCACAGTACAGATATAGGTAGTCTGCGAAATATCTGGCGGGATTCAATTCCTCCACCTAATTCCGCTGGGATCCGAGTAGTAGCGGTGGTGTTGTTTGACGAGAAAGAGCTTGGGATTGCAGCTGCATACGTCATAGCAAAAAAATGTTTCCCCCTGCCCAAGGCCTGCGCCTGGATATCGATGCCATCAGCCAGATTTTTGGATCCATTAGTATCGCATGCTGGATCGTTGTCTTCTCGCCGCAAATCATTGAAAACTGGAAACGCGGGTCGGCAGACGGTCTGTCGGTCGTCTTCATCGTCGTATGGCTGGCGGGCGACTTCTTCAACATCTTTGGCGCAGTACTCCAGGGTGTTTTGCCGACAATGATTATTTTGGCCGTGTACTACACCTTGGCTGATATTGTGCTGTTACTGCAATGTTTCTGGTACAAGGGATTTACTCTGCGCGATGACTACAAGACGCCGGACGATGATTCGGGCGATGAATCGTCCATTGCAAGCGAACAATCACCACTCCTATCCGAGCGAAGAAACGAACAAACATACAGCAACGGCCACACCAACGGCAACAGCCACCCCGCTCGCATCTCCGATATCGACAGACGCCACTCCACCCACTCCCAAGGCTCCTTCCGAGAACGCTACCTCTCCATCGACGGCACCCACCTCTCCCCCGTCACC